TTTTCCTGCTAGGGTAAAGCATTTGATCATTTTCCTGTAATTCTAATCGTTTGTTTTTGCTTCAATTTTACCCCAAAATACAAAAATCCTCCCAGTCCACATATAAATTTCTATTTCCAGAGCCCTCATTGAAGCATCAACAAATCATGATCAGCCCATAGATATTCCGCTATTATCACATTATTTTCTAAAACCTCTCTCTTAAATTAATATATGATATAAGTGGTCTAAAAATACATTAATAGTCGCTTCCACGCATATTTAAATGAGTGTAAATTTTGGGATAAATAAAAATTTCATCGCGAATGGTAAAAGGTTTATTTTAAGGTCTTTAAAGTAAGTACGATGCATTAGCTTTCCAAACAAGAAAAATATGCGAATAACCGACTGAAATTGAGGGTTTTAAATTATTTTTAAACATTAGATTTATCATCTATCGGTGCTTGGATGGCACAATGCCAACAGCAGCAATCACGGCATTTTAAATACGAAAATGTGAATATCCAAATTTTGAAACATCAATTGAGGCTTGAGCAATGCAACTTTGAAGACTTGTTTTTTTAGGAATGCTTTAGACGAAGCTTTACATTCGACGGTGTTTGAGTCATTCTTTGATTATTTAATTTTACTCAACAGGAATTACTTTATTTAATTGCAGTTAAAATCAGGGATTTTATGCGGGTAAATTGTGCATAAAACTGTTGCGAAGCGAAAAAAACGGTGTGTGCATTTTCATTTAGTTCATCGTTAAGGAATGTTAAATGGCATTTAAAGATCGCATCGCACCCTAAAAATGATGAATACCGAGAAGGATGAAATAATCGTGGCAAATTATAACTAATAAATTAGTGGTCAAGAGGAAGAGAGACAAACAAACAAGGCCTATTAAACAAGCTAACATCTTGATAAAGGCCATAGTTCCGTGGAAAGATGGACTGCGATGTATGGGCATAACATTAATTTTAACCCAACAGCCTGTCTCAAAAAGATATCAGATTACGTGGTTCTCTAAGAAAAACTCACCATTTAAGCTACACCGTCCACGTGATTAACAGGTCACAAGAAAGGGAATTTTGTCATTCTCTTTTTAAGCTGGTTAATTTAAGCTTTATCTGCATTTCGGCCTGTTAAATTAATTGCTTATAATTGAGTCATTGGAGACGGAGATCCAGGCACGTATGTTAATTGCGCCTTAAAGATCGGAGAAATGTTTTAATGAGTCGCGTCAAATTTGTTTTTCGTTAATTAGGAACTCGACAGCCTGGTGATTTCAACGTGAAGAGTTGCTCAATCGGGTTTCGGATGGACATTATACGGAATTTCGGGGAAGTGTGTGTGAATTCGTTTTAATAATCGCCTATTAGTCCGTAATTACCATTTTAAGTACGGAATTTATGGGTTGATTTTTTTTTCGGGCGCGAAATGCTGGAAAATGTACTTGTAGTTCTTTCCCTCATGTTTTTTCGAGTCTTTTAAGAGACAAAACCGGTATAAATGGCAAAACTGCACTTAATAGAAGAAGCTTTCTGTTGCTGTTATTAATAGGCGCGAGTTAGAAAAATAGTTACTTACTAACAGATAAATCTAAAAGCTTTCCACGCCCAAAATATCTGAAGCGTTTTTTAAACAGTTTTTTTATAATGTTGCTGATCGATTTTTGCTAAAAACCTTATTCCTTTACACAAAAAATCAATTTTCGCATAATATTCGAAAAATCCCCTGTATGGTTCTCGAGTTGAATGAGTTACAGCCCAGCTCGAATCCTATTCGTTGAAACGTGACTGTTCGGCCAACAAAGAATACGGCCTTAATGTAAATTGCATGAAATAAAGTCATACCGTTTTATCGTTCTGGAACAAAACCTAATTAACATTGTAGATTACATGGGAATTATGGCGGAAATAAATGTAATAATAATTAAACCGAACTGCGTGGATAATAAAATTTAACCATAAAAAACCTAATAATAGCGAATTAATTAATGCGAATTAAATGGGATAGGAAATGGGCTGCATTAATTGAAAAATTAAAATATTATATTGGATTTAGTGATTTATGACGTTAAAGATTTTTAAAAACCCGTCCTTGCTTAAAAAATTAAAAATCCTTGGGAAATATTAAGTAATCATCATTTTCGAAGGCTTTTTCTTGTTCAGTTGCCAACTAAATGGACATCAAATAAACCGGACTTGGAGCCAATAGGTGATTTGACTCAAAGAAAAACACTTTGAAAGTGGGTAAAATTTAAACATGTGTCTGTTCAGTTTTGGGGGCTTTCAAGGCGTCGTGGAAAAACCGGAAAAGCTCACCAGTTTCAAACAATATTTCCATTTCAAACAATATTTCCAGAATTTAATTGGTTGAAAAGATGCATAATTTAATCAGCAACAATCTGTTAAAACTAGCAAACCATTGGGGATTTTTGGACAACTTTTGGTCCGTTTGTTGGGGGGTTTAACCGCAAGCACTTTTTCGAAAATTAACCGCAACTCAACAAAATGTGCGATTTGACGGAATCGGGAAAACTTGCTCTTTACGGTGGTACAAGGACAAAGTCTCTAGTTTTCATTATTATCTCGCCAAGTTTTAGAGGCAAAAATTTCTAAAGTGGAACATGTCCAACAATGCACGAAGGAGGCAGAAAAAGTCGGATATCAATGAAGCTGTCCCAGTTAATAGAGAAAATATTGGTCTTCGTGATGGTGCCAGAGTAAATTCTCTAAATCGTCTAGTTTTGGAAATACAATTTTTTGAAGTTGAGCGTTTTTTGAAGTCAAACGACGATTAGACCGACTGCAAACTGGCAAGCAATGTTTTTAAAATTCGCATCAACTCACCAGGAACTGCAACATTAATGAAACTTTGGCAATATGCAGAGAAAATACGTTCCTTGCAGAAGCTTAACAGAAATAGTTCTAAATCATCCAGTTTTGAAGACAAAGTTAATTGAAGCCTGCCAAACAATGTCCGCTAGAAAGCGGGGTTGGAAGAACATTTTTGAAATTTCGGCGCCACTCAAGGAAAAGCCGGTTTTAAATGAAGCTTTCCGTATCAATAAAGAAAAGCTTACTCTTTGTGGTGCTGGAATAGCAAAATCCCTGGATCGACTAGTTTTGGACATATCTTTTTAGTTGAGCGTGAAAACTAGTTTTTTTTTGAAAATTTGCATCAACTCCCAAGGCAGTTTTAGCAACTTTAATGAACCTTTTCCGATAACTAAAGCAACTAGAGCAACAGTTCACTTAGCAGTGCAACTTTTGCCTAAATAAAATGAAATGTTGAGAATGAGAGTAGAGAAAAGTAGGCAAATTAGGGCTAAAGATAAAAACGCTAAAAGTATCGAATTAATAATATAAGAGCGGTGTTAAGATAGTCGTGAGACTCAGGTATAAATAAAACAACCCGAACCCACGTTTCATTAGTAATCTAATCTGAGGCTTGTTAAATTGCTTGTCTCTCTCGAATACCCGTGTTGGTTATCCGTCCGTTTAACGCTTGACAAGTGTATTGTAATAAAATATATTTATTTAGATTGACTGAACCGAACAATGGCCAATGCTTCGCCCATTGATATATAAAATTTTAATTATATCACTACAAAAGAACTAATAAAATCAATTTATGGCCCAGCCAATTATTAGCCTGTCTAATAAATCAAAACCATAACTTATAGATCGATTAAAATGTTATTTAAAAAATTTACCCAATTAAAATTATATTACCAGGATCGGGCTTCAGATTAGCTGAGGTACCATAATGTTTCTACATCAATCACTGCTCTCAAACCTCTCAAATTCCAATGCCAAAGAAAAAACTCTAGAGCATTTTTACCAACATTCGCTGCATCTCGCTCACACTTCGCTGGGATCAAATACATGTTTTTTGTTAAACAAAACGCGATGGTATGCAAATTTGAGTTGCACAGCAACACCATTCTTTATCGCGTTTCCTCAGAAGGCAAGAAAACCCACGTCAAATCCTCAACCGTGCACTTAATGGAGGTTCGTTCGAACGGCCTAAACCGTCTAAAACACTGTAATTACGCATATCTAAATCAGATAGGCATCATTTAGTTTCGCTTATGGGGCGCAATTACCGGGCTGCAAAGTCAATTGGACCCAAGTTTGGAGCGACGGCAGGTAGTGGCCTGGTAATAAGCAGATATCACGAAGCACAAACTACTTGTATTTCTAGCCGGGCATTTTCCAACAATATCCATTCAACCTGATCTGGCAGTTTGCACTTGGATGATGATTAATTGAGCAAAAATCACCAGAAATCTGTGTAAAATAACCACAAACATCTGAGTGATACACATGAAATTACCATGGGACACTTTAAATGTGTTAGTGAAACATAAATAAGAGGATCTTCGCAATGGCTGACATGTCGGGTTGTAACTTAATACGTGTAAATGTATATGTAAATTGGGTGGTTTGGGGTTAAAGCGATAAAATATACGCGGATTTAGTAATCAGCCGGCATAAAAGGATGTCGGACCTTGATGTATTCGCCTATTGTTGAATAATCCCGGCAAATTATTTTCTTTGTCCTATTTTTACACAGCATTCATCCATAAAGTAAGAAAAGTGTTGTATGGTAAGTGCCACCTGAAGAACAACGGTTTTAGCCAAAGTGATTTATATTTAGCTTATAATCAAATTTGTTATTTTTATCAAATTGCTATTTTCATTCACCACAAAGGTTTGGTCAATGTATAACAACGAGTGAAACTCCCTATAGCTTTTTCTCGTGTCGCGTCTGCACACAAATATTAATTTAATTCTGCCTTCTGTTATAATTGTTCTATAATGAAATTGTGGATATTTTTCCTTTTGTTTCCTGCGTTGTTGTTCGACTCTTCCTTGGAACGCTTCATTTTTCTAATTTTCTTCTGTTAAACTTTAAGCTTTCACTGTTCCAATTTAGAAACGTTTCAGTTTGTCTCTGTCTTTGTTTTGCGCCTGTATTGTTTCCTTCAGTATTTCCATCTGCACCCTTCATTATCAATTCGTTCTTTCTCGAATCTTAATACAAATTTGTTGTCGTGTTTTCTTTCTCCTTTAGGCGTTTGTCGTCATTTCTCTTAAATTCAGCTTTCTTTTTGGAGGTTCGCCAATAATAAATACGAGCTCGTTATGGCTTTGTTGATCTAGCTGTTTTTTTATTCATTTCATTGTGTCTTTGATTCCATTTAGTTTTACTAGCTTTATGCCATTTTTTTATCTGAAGTAACTATAGTTAGTTGATCTTGTATAGCTGTGGTGCCTTCCAAATTTATCTTCTATTTAATATTAAACATTTTTTTTTTATATTTTTATAAATTTTGCATATCGCCCAATTTTTCCGGAAGTGGAGGCGATTTTTCAAAAGTTGATTATCAGTTTGCCTGCTTATCGCCATCGCTTAGTACGGTCAACTCAAATGTTACTGGAAATCTAGACTATCAAGAGACATTTTTCGTGCACCACCGCAAAGAACAAGATTGTCCCTATTTTATCGGAAAATCGTCCCTTAAATCACACTTTTTGTTGGGGTGAGGCAAATTTTCAAAAACTTGATTTCGATTGAAGCACCCAGCAGACCGGTCAAAAACTGTACAAAAAATCCCCAATGTTTTGTTGCTTTTAACAGATTGTTGCCGATCAAATTAGCTAAAACATCTGAAAGGACAACTTTTTTCTCATTCAGACATTTTCGTTTAATGCTTCATTTTACAGCAGAAAAAAAATGTGTACTTCCCCACCTTCTGAATTTTATCGGTTATCGAAAGCACAGTCTGTATATTTAATAAACATAATTAAAAATTTCCTAAGCTGCACATGTTATGGGAAAATGTATATTTTCACTAAAAAAAGCGACTGTTTTAATTTATTAGTTATTTTCCAGCTCTTCTTCTGCGGGTTGTTTCCAGCTTTTCTGATGTTAGCCCACATTAGCTCCATCTTTCTCTCTCCCACTGTTCACCACATCACGCTTGGCTTTACGGGGCCAAGTCAAAAAGTTCAGTCGTTGGTTAGGGGTTCAATGAAACGTGCGCCCAAATTTAGTTTTTTGGTTTTATCGCGAATGTTTTATGACGAACATCGGGAATTGTAAATAAGCAGATCAGTTTTTGTTTCCAGGGTTTTTTAAGTGGGTTCAGGTTGGATTAATTGAGCGAGAGGCAAAGTGGTGATCGGAATGCGTCCAGTAATTACCGACCAAATGAATATAGAGTCATTTCGAAATCCATTTTGGCCGTAATTTCCATGGAACTCGCGCTTGCATGCCGAACACGTCTCGGTGCATGTAAAAAGGGATGCCAACATAAACACCTGAAATACCCCAATATCGTTAACAAATGGCCGTACACGTTTAAAGGTGGGTATAATAGCGACGAGTCAACAATTATGCTGTGACGTAAGCCATTAATTATAACCTAACCTGTGGTTAGGACTTAACAAGCTGTCACTAGTAGATTGTTAGCGCGTTATTTATGAGAATTTAAACGCGAACGATGTGGAGTGCAGGCCGAGAGAGAACGGGAAACGCAAAGGTATATTATTGTTTTAATTAATTTCACCCGTGAGCTAATAGGCATTTTTGGACGCTTTCCTTCCATCGCTCTACGGTCTATCGACTCTTATTACTTTATCAATGAACCGGAATTTATAATTATGCGCGAAAAAGTTCCCTATTTTGATTTTGCTCTTATGCCGATATTATACTATGGGTTTTCCCCGATTTGTTAGCCAATAATTTGATTATGAACATTTCCTGGCATTTTTTGGGGTTATTGGTTGTTTGCCAACTGTGCAAGGGCGATGTTGGCAACGATTCTTAAAGGAAATTGACTAATGATGCTTTCTGTTGCGTCTCATATGTTGTATTAGGCGTGGGTAACACTGTGTTGAGTTGCGCTTTTGAGTTTGCCGCTCTGTGAGTTGGTCAGTTTGACAGTCAGTCAGTCAAACTGAACTCGGACTGCCAAGCAATGAAGCATCGAAAGGGCGAACAAGCAAATTAATATATAATCATGTTTATTCTGTACTTCAGTGTCGTTTTTTTTGAAATTGTGTAAGTATGAAGTGAACAGTTTGTGTCCAAAATGCGGTAGTTTGTGAAAGTGTGGTATACTTATTTGTGATTAATGGATGGAAAATGGAGGATGGGGCCCCAGCTTCCAGAAAGCTGTTAAGAATGATCTCTAATCTAAAAATATTTTAGCTTGAACTGAGACAAGCGACTGAAGTTTTATGGATTCTTTATATTTCGCTCTCTTTGCTGTGCTGAGTTCAAATAAGTTTGGCTTTGGATACTTTGGATTTTCTGCTGTTCCAAACACATTTTTTTGGTGGTTGTGGTAGAAAACTTTTTTGCCGTTGCTCAAGAACCATTTCAGCCATAGAGTGCGTTTTTAGATCATTGAGGTGCAAGTTTACCCCAAAATTTAATTAAGAAAAAAAACGTGTTCTACAGAATGTCAATCTTTCAAGTTTCTACTGGTTTAACTTTGGAAGTCGACCTTTTTTATTGAAGAAAAAATTCTTTCAGTTGTTCAAAATTCAGGATTTCATCTGATTTCAATGAAGGGTTGAAGAAAACTCTGAACTTGAGAAGTATTTTTCGTTTCTGAGAAATTTGTTATCGAAAAACGCGATGCAAAATGTGCCCCGCAACGGTTTTTTCAAATACTAAGCCAAATTTTTTTAGCCATGAGTGAAATTCGAAATTTTTACATTCAGAGCGCACTCTTCTACTTGTCTTGATCTATGCACCGGTGAGTTACTGTGCCGGTGCGTTGGGTTGGCGCAACAAGCCATTTTGGCATCACTGCGCCAACTCCTGAAAATTAACTGTGTTACCCATGCCTATGTTAGGATTAGCAAATTAATAAAGGTATATATATCCAAGTCGACGATGGCCAAGAAGAAAAACTTCCGACTTGACCTTAGCGACCTGAAATATTTTCGATCATCGACTTATTATTATTATTCTTAAGACTTTTGTTCTTCCCGCTTACGCAACTGCTTCTATTGTACCACCTAGTTTTTTAAGCGTTGTTTAGCAGCTCAACATTCACAGGCCTGCACCTCTTTGAAATCTACTCGTTTTCTTCAGTTGGGCTTTCTACGGCTGGAATCGTCAATATCTTTATTACACGTTGGACTGAAGAAGGCCCGGTTTCAACGGTATAATTAAAAAAGAAAGGCATCAATTAACCTGCCTATTATTTGTTCAACAATCGTATTAACTCTCCGACTGATCGGTCCAAACTGTTGGCCCATCAGTTCGTAATAACTTAAACGTAAAATAGGCAATAAATTAATAACTGTTTAATATTAAAAGAGAACCAGTTTGGGGGCCCATAACACTAAATCACTGTCAAGAATTAAAGTTTTAACAACACGTCGAATTATTTATATGCTATAGCTCCTCTTAGCAAACCAACAGATGGTTAATTGCTGAAATACAATGTGTTCTGTAATAACCGGTTAATTTATTTTAGTGTTAATTAGGTGTATTTTATTAAACAGGTAGGGCAGCCACTAAATTGATATACCATTCGTTATCGATATTGTAACGCACAGTGGCGGACTATCGGATAGGAGTAGGATGAACTGAAAGGGGATCAGAACTGCCATCGACCCAGCATCTGCCCTTTTTACTCTCGAAACGATCAATTTTTGTCACTGAATCAAACTTTTGCCTGAAGTTGCCCAATAAGTCCAAAACTAACTGCAACTCATGACTGCATACTTTCCCAATTAAGTAGCGGATTAGGGATAATTGATGACTTTGTAAATATAGAAATAAAATTAAAATTCATCGACAGTAACAGAATGGTTTTTATTGTCAGTGTCTTGTGGGGTCCCCCTTAGTATTCAGTTAGGAAAAATTGTTAACAATGCTGCCAATAACTATATATTACCCACCTTCTTCTAACTGACACATACGATAATTAAGGAATCTTTACTCCTCACTAAGGCCGTTTGGTATTCAGGGCCGGTAGTCTGTTTCCCCTTAACGCCTTTGCCTTATTCATTGCAAGCATGTCCTAGCTGTAATTTGTACACGTTGCTTTGCATATTTTTTCAATTTTCTTTTAAATCATCGATTCGTCTATGTAAACGCCTGTTTACCGTTCGTTCTATGAGTAACACTCGGCTGTTCTTTCCAGTAACTTTGTTGAAGAGTGTGAGTATTTCTCTTGTTCCATAGAATTTTGCTTGGTTCTTATGGTCTTTTCGTGTGTTGTGTTGGAGTTTTGGTAGTCTTTTTCGTTTCAAGCAACATTGGTTATAAATTGTTGAGATTTCTTGGTTTTGGTCAAAGCAATTGAAAGTTGAATGCCACCCTTGTTTTGAAGAGTTGAAAACGATCCCAGTTGCTTGGCGCCTTCTGAAAAAAGTTGGCTAATTGGCATTTTGAAGCAAAAATATTCCCACTAGTTAATCATCATAACTAAATCAGCCAGTTCTGGCAGACAATTTCTACATTTCCACATGATAAATAATCAGAAATAATCTGCGAATGCAATTAAGGCATTTTTCAGTGAAATGCCTGCCATGTGCGCTGTCGAGTATGATTTATTTCATTTCGCACGGTTCAATCTTGATAATAAATCTCGATAAGGTGTTGTCGAAGCGAAAAATTTCTATTAATTCAGGTAAAATGGCACACTTATTGAAACCCATTGTGTTGTCGAGGTGCATGAAACGATCGGCAGATTTTAACAAAAGAAGGCTTGGCAAAGTCAAAACGGACCCGAGTGTTATTTGGTCACCGAATTACAAAAGAAGCCGTATTTTTCGATCAAGGGCCGCCTTCTAATTTCTATTAGCAGCTATATAAACGCTATTATGCCTCGACCAGAACAGTTGCTGTTCAGCAATAATTCCACAATGTCACCCGGAATATTTCTTCGGGCCGGATAATGGGGATTGAGATGTGCGCCAGTAGATTTTAGCATAGTTGGGCTCTTATGGGGACCAGCGGGAGATCATTCGTTTCTAAACAAATTTGTCTTTTACCTGGTATTCGACTGACCCATGTCATATAACAAGCTAACTTATTACCTTAAAAATATCTTTTAATATACTAAAAATGTAATTCACACGCTACATATAACAGGAGCTGGACAAAGGGAACCGTTTAGATTCAATCTAGCCACTTGACTTTAAATGATTGATCGCTAGTTTTCATATACCTGCACTGCTAATAAAAGGTCCCCATTCGCTGAATAATTACCTTCATTATGTATTCTTTTTGCTAAAGTCCTTTTCACAAAATGCATCATGCTCCAGTCGTCGTTTGCAGTCTAAATGTTTTGATTTTCCAACTCCTTCATTCAATGAACCGACCGGACGGTTTTCTAAATTTTCCTGTTAAATCGTTAAATGATGACAAAACGAAAATTCAACCTAATTTTTTTCATCGGTTCAAACGTGACGCCACTTTTTGATCATTTTTCAAGGATCATTAGAGCTACAGCGTTGTCCTAAATATCACTGGATAGGGAACTAAAAACGCCATTTACTGAGTGAAAATTTGAAATAGGAAATCTTGGCGGATCTGAACCATTCGGGATATGGGATATTGTGTTAGTTTTCCTATTACTAAAGAGGGAATTAAACCCATTTTCCAGTGGAACTTGAGTTAGGAAGTAGTGCGAAATTTCAATCCGATTTTTTACGCGGTTTTTACGAAGTGTTTGCAAGAAATGATGTCACCTTTTTTGTTAAGTCTCAAGAACCATTTGAGCTAAAGCACTCGCTTTCATATCTCTGAATAGAGCACCCACAAGACACCTTTCTGTGTACCGTGAGAGCGCTAAAAACCTCATTTACTAAGGAAAACCCCATTTTCAATCACTGTAGAAGAGTTGGAATTTCATTTCCCAAGAGAAATTTGAATTGGGAAAACTTAGTATTTTTCATTCAAAAACCTAATTTGGAGCATTGTTTTTGTTTTACGTGTTTTTAACAAAATTGCAGCAAAACATGACGCCACTTTTAGGGTTGTGTTGCTCTCAATCAATCAAAGTTTTTAACCAGAATAAAGAATTTAAAGCACAGTTTTTGTTTTGCGATGTTTAAGAAAAATGTTTGCTTAACATGATGCATTTTTTTAGGAAAATCTCAACAACCCTTTGTCTATCTTCTATCACTGAACATAAAATTAAAAACCCCACTGAAGGAGAAACATTGCATTCGAAAATCCTGACGATTTTCACACCAAAAGCGAATTTTAAACACATTTTTTGTCTTATGTCTCAAGGTCCATTTCAGCTACATAG